CATTTTGTAGACACAAGAATGTAAAATATTTTTGGCAGGATGTTACTCACAAACCATCCAAAAGATAGTTTTGACCATAATGCAAGGAAATCAATCTGACCAATGAACTGTACAATTTATATTCTGAAAACTATCTGTTCCATAAAACAGAAATTGCTAGATTTCTTCAGAACTAATATATTTCTCACTTCATATATGAAGAGACCCATAAGTTCAATCCAGTTCTGTTCTCAGTATAGCTGAGAATATGTTTTGATTCTATATCTTTCTCTGTGTTCCAGCGCACTTTTGGTAGCCCTACACTTTACCACTATTCGGCAAAAATAACCATGCAGGTTTCTCTTTTGACATCAGCAGGTTACAATGCTCAAGGCAGACATCAACATTTATATAACTTGATATAGATATATATATGTGTATATGCATGTGTGTGTATACATATAACTTGTATGAAAAACAGTAACTAACAACCACTAGTACCTATGTATAATGCATATTATATTCATGTGTATACATAATATTCATTCAATATTAAGCAAAAAATAATTTCCATAGTAGGATTTAACTGTTTATACATTATTCAATACAGGAATTTGGACAGAACATTTATGTGAACACACTGCAAAAAAGAGTAAATGACAGGAGAATACTTGGATCAAAAATCATTTCATCATCTTTTAACATGACAGCACGTGTGTATCCACATATGCACAGCCACTCAGTTCAGGAAAGCTGTGATTAAAAGCTCTCATGCATGAATATATGTAGACAATGATGTTAACATTAGTCACTCAAAAGGGGATAAAGAGGCAATGGGTCAAAAAATAAGAAGCGATTTTTGTTAGCACCATTATACTGATGTATTCACTAGCACCAGACCTTGTAAGGCTTTGAGAGCAGAATTCCTTATTCTGTATGCTTGGTCAAAAAAGGCTCACAGACCATAATAAACAAGTACTTTCACACAATGAAGGGGTTACAGTATACACTTTCCTGAAATGGATATTACTGGAAATTATGTGTATTAGGAAAAAAAAAAACCAAACTTATTTTTCTCTACATGAAAAACAAAGAGCTTTTTATTATTATCATTTTTTTGCTCATTGTTTAAAGCTACTTCTAGGTATATCCAGTTTTCTAGTTTAAGATACTCTATTGGGAATCCATTCTATATGGAATTTCATGATGAGATTAAAAAAAACAATCTTTCCTTCGAATTTTCACAAGTCTGTCTGGTGCTATAACATATCAGTAACCAATGATTACCATGAATCAGAGTAGCACCTGTTATTCTGCTCATAGAAAGGCATATTGATCTGAATGGTACACAGCTAATTAAGTGATGTATTTATTTCATCACTCAACAGCAGTTCTACTAATTCCAAACAACTGTACAAAACAGGGTGTTGTTACTGTACAGGTAAGAGCACATTTGTAAAGAAAACCTCATCCTAACACTCTTATTTACATTATGCTCGCAAACTGAAATAGGCAAATTCAGATACAAATTCTCACATTTCTCCCTTCTTAGTTAACTCCAGTGAGAAATGAGTCCCTTATTTTCTACCTTGACATGAATTTTAGCCCCTATTCCTTTGCATACACAGAAGAGGGAGCTCCCACGTGGGGTTATACTACTCGAACTGTCTCCCTGCCGTCACCATTGCCACTCTGATCCCAGGAGGGCAGAGAAGCAACATACCAGTGAAGGAACATAGTATCCTTCCACATGTACTGGAGCCTTCTCAGGGAAATTAGCAATGTTACATTAATGTAATAACCTTGATTACACAGATCTAGAGGTTAATCCCATCTCAAAAGTTTCCTTTGACAACCACCACGTAGGACTTCCATGGGCAAAGGGACCAGCATCCATTCAGCTCCAGCTTCCTTCTTGACACCCTTGAGGACCCTCCTGGCCAGAAGTCAAAAGGGGACTTGCTCTGTCTGGGACAGCTGTGGATCATGAAGCCATTAAACTATTAATCACATTAAACCATTACATCTCTTATCTTCTGGAAAAGATGAAGATGAATTTCCCTCCCTCTATCCTTTCCTTGCTTTTACTCAGAACAACTGGTGAGAAAAGCCCCAAGCCAAGAACACCTGACACATTCTTTCACTAATATCACTTCAGTACAGTATTTGACCCTGATTAGTTCACAGTTACATTACAGATACTTATCCAGAAAGTGGAGAAGAAATGTCACAACAAACACACAGATGAATCTTCTTTAGCTATGCGTATAAATTCCAAGTTTAGTTTTCTATTAATACATTTCTAAACTGATTATCTCTATTCCAGTTACTTTCCAATTTTAGTCATCTAGATTTTAAACTATCTGCTGCCAAGAAAGGTTGTGAAAGCTCACTTACTTCCTCTTCAAATGAAAACTGGACAGCCGTGTTCACAGACAAATAATATGACTAACCCATTATTTTGTAAAACTACTCTGTGGAAAGCAATAAGATTTGGAGATGCTTAGAAGGAAAGAAAAGTCACCAAAAGAAAGATTATTCTCACCAGCTTCATGAACCATCAACATGTTCCTCTCTGTTCCCTACAAGGGATTTGGTTTTTTCTCAGGAGGATAGTAGAAAGCACAAGAACAAGGATGACAACTCTTTCAAATATTTGAATAAGAATGAATGAGAAAGAGGGAAGGAAAGGAAAAAGAGCAGAAGGGAGAAAGAAACGAAAGAAAGAAAGAAAAAGAAATGAAAGAAAGGAAAGAAAGGAAGAAAGGAAAGGAAAGAAAGAAAAGAAGGGAAAGAAAGAAAGGAAAGGAAAGAAAGGAAGAAAGGAGGAAGGGCGAAAAGGCAGAAAGGCAGAAAGAAAGGAAGAAAGAAAGGAAGAAAGAAAGAAAGAAAGAAAGAAAGAAAGAAAGAAAGAAAGAAAGAAAGAAAGAAAG